GGGGGGAGGACATGTCGGTATGGGGGGAGGACATCGTCGGTATGGGGAGGACATGTCGGTATGGGGGAGGACATGTCGGTATGGGGGGAGGACATGTCGGTATGGGGGGGAGGACATGTCGGTATGGGGGAGGACATGTCGGTATGGGGGAGGACATGTCGGTATGGGGGAGGACATGTCGGTATGGGGGAGGACATGTCGGTATGGGATAGGACATGTCGGTATGGGGGAGGACATGGCGGTATTGGGGGAGGCCATGTCGGTGTGGGGAAGGACATGTCGGTATGGGGGAGGACATGTCGGTATGGGGGAGGACATGTCGGTATGGGGGGAGGACATGTCGGTATGGTGGGGGGAGGACATGTCGGTATGGGGGAGGCAATGTCGGTATGGGGAGGGGGGGAGGGGGAGGAATGGCGGTATGGGGGAGGACATGTCGGTATGGGAGAGGACATGTCGCACACACGTGGGGGAGGCCATGTCGGTTTGGGGGAGGCAATGTCGGTATGGGGGAGTACATGTCGGTATGGGGGAGGACACGTCGGTATGGGGGAGGACATGTCGGTATGGGGAGGACATGTCGGTATGGGGGAGGACATGTCGGTATGGGGGAGGACATGTCGGTATGGGGGAGGACATGTCGGTATGGGAGAGGACATGTCGGCATGGGGGGAGGCCATGTCGGTATGGGGGAGGCCATGTCGGTATGGGAGAGGACATGTCGGTATGGGGGAGGACATGTCGGTTATGGGGGAGGACATGTCGGTATGGGGGGGAGGACATGTCGGTATGGGGGGAGGACATGTCGGTATGGGGGAGGACATGTCGGTATGGGGGAGGACATGTCGGTATGGGGGAGGACATGTCGGTATGGGGGAGGACATGTCGGTATGGGGGAGGGACATGGCGGTATTGGGGGGAGGCCATGGCGGTGTGGGGAAGGACATGTCGGTATGGGGGAGGACATGTCGGTATGGGGGGGAGGACATGTCGGTATGGGGGAGGACATGTCGGTATTGGGGAGGAACATGTCGGTATGGGGGGAGGACATGTCGGTATGGGGGAGGACATGTCGGTATGAGGGAGGACATGTCGGAATGGGGGAGGACATGGCGGTATTGGGGGAGGAACATGGCGGTATGGGGGAGGACATGGCGGTATAGGGGGAGGACATGTCGGTATAGGGGGAGGACATGTCGGTATGGGGGAGGACATGTCGGTATGGGGGAGGACATGTCGGTATGGGGGGAGGACATGTCGGTATGGGGAGGACACAATGTCGGTATGGGGGAGGACATGTCGGTATGGGGGGAGGACATGTCGGTATGGGGGAGGACATGTCGGTATTGGGGGAGGCCATGGCGGTATTGGGGGAGGCCATGTCGGTATGGGGGAGGACATGTCGGTATGGGGGGAGGACATGTCGGTATGGGGGAGGACATGTCGGTATGGGGGAGGACATGTCGGTATGGGGGAGGACATGTCGATATGGGGGAGGACATGGCGGTATGGGGGAGGACATGGCGGTATTGGGGGAGGACATGGCGGTATTGGGGGAGGACATGGCGGTATTGGGGGAGGACATGTCGGTATGGGGGAGGACATGTCGGTATAGTGGGGCGAGGACATGTCGGTATGGGGGAGGACATGTCGGTATGGGGAGGACATGTCGGTATGGGGGGTAGGACATGTCGGTATGGGGGTAGGACATGTCGGTATGGGGGAGGCCATGTCGGTATGGGGGAGGACATGTCGGTGTGGGGGAGGACATGTCGGTATGGGGGGAAGGACATGTCGGTATGGGGGAGGACATGTCGGTATGGGGGGGGGGAGGACATGTCGGTAAAAATGGGGGGGGGGGAGGACATGTCGGTATGGGGGAGGCAATGTCGGTATGGGGGGGGGGGGGGAGGACATGGCGGTATGGGGGAGGACATGTCGGTATGGGAGAGGACATGTCCGGCATGGGGGAAGGCCATGTCGGTATGGGGGAGTACATGTCGGTATGGGAGAGGACACGTCGGTATGGGGGAGGACATGTCGGTATGGGGGAGGACATGTCGGTATGGGGGAGGACATGTCGGTATTGGGGGAGGCCATGGCGGTTTATTGTGGGGGGCCATGTCGGTATGGGGGAGGACATGTCGGTATGGGGGGAGGACATGTCGGTATGGGGGAGGACATGTCGGTATGGGGGAGGACATGTCGGTATGGGGGGAGGACATGTCGGTATGGGGGGAGGACATGTCGATATGGGGGAGGACATGTCGGTATGGGGGAGGACATGGCGGTATTGGGGGAGGACATGGCGGTATTGGGGGAGGACATGGCGGTATTGGGGGAGGACAATGTCGGTATGGGGGGAGGACATGTCGGTATAGGGGGAGGACATGTCGGTATGGGGGAGGACATGTCGGTATGGGGGAGGACATGTCGGTATGGGGGTAGGACATGTCGGTATGGGGGTAGGACATGTCGGTATGGGGGAGGCCATGTCGGTATGGGGAGGACATGTCGGGTGTGGGGGAGGACATGTCGGTATGGGGGAAGGACATTGTCGGTATGGGGGAAGACATGTCGGTATGGGGGGGGGAGGACATGTCGGTATGGGGGGGGGGAGGACATGTCGGTATGGGGGAGGCAATGTCGGTATGGGGAGGGGGGGAGGACATGGCGGTATGGGGGAGGACATGTCGGTATGGGAGAGGACATGTCGGCATGGGGGAAGGCCATGTCGGTATGGGGGAGTACATGTCGGTATGGGAGAGGACACGTCGGTATGGGGGAGGACATGTCGGTATGGGGGAGGACATGTCGGTATGGGGGGAGGACATGTCGGTATGGGGGAGGACATGTCGGTATGGGGGAGGACATGTCGGTATGGGGGAGGAACATGTCGGTATGGGGAGGACATGTCGGTATGGGGGAGGACATGTCGGTATGGGGGGAGGACATGTCGGTATGGGGAAGGACATGTCGGTATGGGGGAGGACATGGCGGTATTGGGGGAGGCCATGTCGGTGTGGGGAAGGACATGTCGGTATGGGGGAGGACATGTAGGTATGGGGGGAGGACATGTCGGTATGTGGGGAGGACATGTCGGTATGGGGGGAGGACATGTCGGTATGGGGGAGGACATGTCGGTATGGGGGAGGACATGTCGGTATGGGGAGGACATGGCGGTATGTGGGGGAGGACCATGGCGGTATTGGGGGAGGACATGGCGGGTATGGGGGAGGACATGTCGGTATGGGGGGCGGACATGTCGGTATGGGGGAGGACATGTCGGTATGGGGGAGGACATGTCGGTAATGGGGGAGGACATGTCGGTATGGGGGAGGGACATGTCGGTATGGGGGGGGAGGACATGTCGGTATGGGGGGGGAGGAGATGTCGGTATGGGGGAGGCAATGTCGGTATGGGGAGGGGGAGGACATGTCGGTATGGGGGGAGGACATGTCGGTGTGGGGAGGACATGTCGGTATGGGGGGGGGGGGGGAGGACATGTCGGTATGGGGGGAGGACATGTCGGTATGGGGGGGGAGGACATGTCAGTATGGGGGGGGGGGGGAGGACATGTCGGTATGGGGAGGCAATGTCGGTATGGGGAGGGGGGAGGACATGGCGGTATGGGGGAGGACATGTCGGTATGGGGGGAGGACATGTCGGTGTGGGGGAGGACATGTCGGTATGGGGGGGAGGACATGTCGGTATGGGGGGAGGACATGTCGGTGTGGGGGGAGGACATGTCGGTATGGGGGGAGGACATGTCGGTATGGGGGGAGGCAATGTCGGTATGGGTGAGGCAATGTCGGTATGGGGGGAGGACATGTCGGTATGGGGGGAAGCAATGTCGGTATGGGGGAGGCAATGTCGGCATGGGGGAGGACATGTCGGTATGAGGGGAGGACATGTCGGTATGGGGGAGGACATGTCGGTATGGGGGGAGGACATGTCGGTGTGGGGGAGGACATGTCGGTATGGGGGGAGGACATGGCGGTATGGGGGGAAGCAATGTCGGTATGGGGGGAGGACATGTCGGTATGGGGGGAGGACATGTCGGTATGGGGGAGGACATGTCGGTATGGAGGGAGGACATGTCGGTATGGGGGAGGTCATGGCGGTATGAGGGAGGACATGGCGGTATGGGGGGGGGGAACATGTCGGCATGGGGGAGGACATGGCGGTATGGGGGGGAAGCAATGTCGGTATGGGGGAGGCAATGTCCGCATGGGGGAGGACATGTCGGTATGGGGGGAGGCAATGTCGGTATGTGGGAAGGACATGGCCGTTATGGGGGAGGACATGTCGGTATGGGGGAGGACATGGCGGTATGGGGAAGGACATGTCGGTATTGGGGAGGACATGTCGGTATGGGGGAGGACATGTCGGTATGGGGGAGGACATGTCGGTATGGGGGAGGACATGTCGGTATGCGGGAGGACTTTTCGGGCGTTATGGGGGAGGACATGTCGGTATGCGGGAGGACTTGTCGGGCGTTATGGGAGAGGTTAAGAGATAGTAGGGCTGGCATGAGTTGATTGAGTGCCTGTACGCAGATGCAGATGAAGAGGTGGAGAAAAATAAAAAGCAATCGCTGTAGAAAAAGAAAAAAAGCAATTGCCGTAATTAACAGTGGTAGTAGCAGCACGTAGTAGTTGTTGTAATAGTAGCGGCAGTACCAGCAACAGCAGTAGTAGTAGTAGTAGTAACAGCAGTAACAGCACCAGCAGTAGCAGCAATAGAAGTAGCAGTGGTGGTGGTGGTGGCAGCAGCAGCTGCAGCAGTGAAGGACCGTTTTCACACCACTGGCGCATCAGACTTACGATGATAGACTCGCATTTTATTGACCAATGGACGTGCAACGGTTGATGTTATAAACATCACCCTGGTCAGTGTGTCTTCCCAGAACGTTTCCTCTTACCCATTTTGACCAGGTCGACCTAAAAATCAAGTTATTTTTTTTATCTGCCTGTTTACTGTATGTTTAATATACTTACTTAAATACGCTGGAGTTCTGCTCGATGAACTGTTCTCCAGGCTTGGACGTGTGAAATTTATAGCCCAGTGCAACATCGTCAGCCGCCATTCCTTCTGGGGCAAACGTTGACGTGTTCATGGACAGCCGGTCAAAGACCCTGGTCTTGACTAGCCTTTGCCATGGAGTTCCGGATATCCGCTCTGCAAGATGGCCGGCGACTGTGTACATATAGTTGCTATAGTGATTGGAGTTGCGGAATTCTGGGGTACGTCGCAGAAATCGAAGTCGCCTGCAGTTAAAAAAAAAAAAAACATGTGGTAACAGAGTTAAAATGGTATTTTATTGTTTTGACTCATTCTTGTTCTTCATCTTTTCTTATTTCTTCTTCTTCTTCTTCTTCTTCTTCTTCTTCTTCTTCTTCTTCTTCTTCTTCTTCTTCTTCTTCTTACTTCTTCTTCTTACGTCTTCTTCTTACTTCTTCTTTTTTCTAGCCACCATCACCACCACCAAAAAGAACATATTTGGGTTAGCAGAGATTCAGTACCCCCCCCCCCACACACACACACACACACACAAACACACACTCAGAAAAAAATTAAAAAATGTTGCTTAAAAAAATGTCTGAGGCCCTGAGCTCCTCGCGTCCAGCCAGAACTGCATGCCTGATGCAACAAAGAAGTACAAGGAATCTTCTGCTTGCCACTTGAGGTTTGTGGGTTGAACAACGGATCACCATCATGGCACCCATAAGTGCTGCATTCTACTTCTAACTCAAGTCTGAGTCCGAAGAAGCTCAGCACAATGTACATGCTCTGTAGCACTGGCGAGGATCCAGAAATACCTTGGGTAGATTTTTAACTCCAAATTTTGTTAGGCTACTCTTTTCGATTTCCAACTATCATAGTATTTTTTTTTACGTGCGCAACAATGCACACGGCGTCCGATCTTACAACCCAGAGACCAGGGAAAATTACTAGAAAGTCCAAGTCCACGTGGGAAAAAAATGCCAGCTCTTACCGGGGATTGAACCCGGAACCTCTAGCACTCGAGGCGGACACCATGCACCCAGACCACGCAGCCCCCTAATGACGAAAAAGAAGTCTTCTACTTGTCACTTTTTAAAGTTTAACAGAAATTGCCCCCCCCCCCCCCCTTTTTTTTTTCGCGCTGTTTTCCATATTTGTATCACATAAGAAGATTTATATGCGTCTATAAACCTCACAGATCAAATATTTCGGGGCAGTTTTGCTGTTTCTTTGATAGCCCCATTTTAAAATATTGCAGTTTTAAGGCAACTTAAAAAAAGGGTCGACAGTTAAATGTTTGCTGCCAGAAAATTCCCTGAGTGTTCCAGAATTTTCTCGAATTATCGCGTACAGCGTTAGTTTCGTAAGCAGACACCGAGACGACGGCATCAAAGTGATTTACTGGAACTGTGAGTGGAAACACGTGCGTGCCAAAACCTTGATACTGCTCCGGCACAATTATATAGTGGAGGAGGAGGAGGAGGAGGAGGAAGAGGCGGAGGTAGGGAGAATTGTTCATGAAATATTTCTATAATCTAACAGTCTCCACACTTTATGTGTGTGATTCAGAGCCTTGTGGGAGAATGTGTTCCATTCGGAGGAATACAGTCTAGTGAGACTGATGCAGCGGGGAGTAGCGAAGGGGTCTGGCCGATACTCGACGCTCAAAGGAAAGGCAAGACAGACGTATAACGCTGGCTGCTGAAGATGGGGACGGAACGCGTATGGGAATGCCCTGAGTGATGTGATGTAGGTTCTTGAAGCTGCCACTATCACAGGGACACCATTCACATTCTGTGGATGCAGCATGAGGACGCAGTGAAGGGATCATGTGCCGGAATTAGGTGCCGCATTTAGGGGTAAACTAAATCAGCTTATGTCTGACATTGCAGCAACCATTGAAAAGAAGAAAAATTAGGTTATTTTCCTGTCCAAATTGCAATTTAAAAAAAAATATATTGAACACAAATATGCCCATAAATTTTCTTATTTTGTTAATATTATTTTAAGTATATATTATCTCAGCATTTTACTTAAAAACGACAATACATTTCGATTATAAAGTAAAGTAAAAGTAAAGATCCCTTTTCACGCCTTAGGCGCATCAGGTATTTTGGAAGAGCCTCCCATATTGTTACAGACCAATCGACACACATTTCCATTATACATATATTTAAACAGCATCTTGTCTCAGAAGCTGAAATATTGTGGCCGTATCAAGCGCCATGGCGGAAAGTAGAAAATAAAACGCAAAAGGCATGATAGTAGGAAAAAGAGTCATGGGTCGACCAGTACGAAAATGGGTACAAGATATGAGTGACTCCTTGGATATGAAGGAAAGTGCCAGAGGCGGGAGATCTAGAAAGAGACTGTGTTTCTTTCTGGCGGAATGTGACAAAGTTTTGCAAAGGAGCTGATACATGCTGATGATATATTTAAAAGGCGTATATATTTAAAATTTTTTTTTTTTAGGGCTCAGGGCCTCACGAAGTCTAAAACCGACTCTGCTACTGTCTCTCCGGGTATTTGGTTGAAGTCTGTGTGTGTGTGTGTTTACGTGCGTGCATGCATGCGTGTGTGTGTGTGTGTGTGTGTGTGTGTGTGTGTGTGTGTGTGGAGACAACATGATCTAACAAGGAATAATCCAACTTGCTGGTATGTGCAATGCTGAAACATGAACTAGTTACAGGGGCGACGACACAAAAAAGAATTTAGGGAAAGGAGGAGTCGGAGCTCGGCTTTTACAAAGTTTTTGGTAGTTCAATGAGTCTAAGCCTGGTTAAAGTGTAATAATAATAAAAATAATAACAATCTTATTATTAATCATAATCATAATCTCAGCAATCATAACAATTTTCTGAATTACAAATCAGTATAACAATATTTTAAAATATATGAAGTGTATAAACAAATGACGTTCGCCGCGGATCGGAAGGTCGTGGGTTCGCTCCCTGGCGGGGCCGGACTTTTTTCAAAAATGACCTTGGCTCCCAGGTCGACCCAGCCTTGAATGGGTACCGGGTGCAGTCCCGGGAAGTAGAGGCGGCCGGCGTGATGCTGACCACATAACCCATCTTGTGCCGATTGGTCTATAAAAATATAGGTCTAGCCCTATATGCCCTATACGCCTAAAGGCGTGGAAAAGGGTCCTTTACTTTACTTTTACTTACTTTTACTTATAAACAAATGCATTAAACAAAAAACAACTCTGATGATTCAAAGGGAGAGGTGTCGCCTCCTCGCACATTGTTTAGCAGGAGGCAGCGTTGGCCTCTCCCCCATTTTCAGAGGGGGAAAAGAGGGGACGGTGCTCAAAATGCCTGAGCTTCCAGGTTCCTGCGCCCTCCGAGCGCTTACAGCAATACATCTCATCCGTCGTGTAATGTCAGTGCTAGTCTTGCGAACCTCGCTGCTTTGAGCTTGGTGAGATTATTTAAGACTTCAAACCTCGACATACTTGTCCACCTAGGATATCAGGGTTTAACTCGGTGTATTCTTTCAATGTGCCTTTAATATCTTCTTCTTAACGTCCACCAGCTGTAAACTCTAGCCGAAAGTTCTGACTGTTCGTCAACATTTAGAATTTAATCTTGTTTCTTCTTGTTCTTCCTTTTTTACTTCAAGCTTACCAACTCAACTGTAAATTCCGCAGCGAGTTTCTATTTGTTCGTCTACTTCTTGATTTTAGTCTTATTTGTTCATTCTTCTTATCCTTCTTCGCGTTCACCGGCGGTAAACTCCGGTGGAATGTTCTAGCCGTTGGTCTATTTCTGGACTAGTCTCGTTCCCCCCCCCCCCCCACTTTCTTCTTTTTCATCTTTTTCTTCCTCTTCTTCTTCTACCTCTTCTTCTTCTTCCTCATCTTCTTTCTCTTCATCTTCCTCTTCTTTTTCTTTCTTCTTCTTCTTCTTCTTCTTCTTCTTCTTCTTCTTCTTCTTCTTCTTCTTCTTCTTCTTCTTCTTCTTCTTCTTCTTCTTCTTTTTCTTCTTCTTCTTCTTCTTCTTCTTCTACCTCTTGTTCTTCTTCCTCATCTTCTTTCTCTTCATCTTCTTTCTCTTATTCCTCATCTTCTTCTTCTTCTTCTTCTTCTTCTTCTTCTTCTTCTTCTTCTTCTTCTTCTTCTTCTTCTTCTTTTTCTTCTTCTTCTTCTTCTTCTTCTTCTTCTTCTTCTTCTTCTTCTTCTTCTTCTTCTTTCTTCTTTCTTTCTTTCTTCTTCTTCTTCTTCTTCTTCTTCTTCTTCTTCTTCTTCTTCTTCTTCTTCTTCTTCTTCTTCTTCTTCTTCTTCTTCTTCTTCTTCTTCTTCTTCTTCTTCTTCTTCGTCTTCTTCTTCTTCTTCACTTTCACCGGTTGTAAAGTTTGAAAAGTTCTGGTTGTTCGTCTGCTTCTGAACTTTAGTCTCTTTTCAGATCTATGGTTTTGCATAAACGTTTTACAAAGAAGATTTATTTGAATGCGGACTGCTGCTTCCTTGCCTCTCAGGCAGATGCACTCGAAGAAAACGCATTTCCCAACACACCGGCATAACCCGGAGAAAAAATCCAGACTGCATTTCACGCGTGACCTCCGAAGCGAAGCTGTCTATGAGACTCTACCTTAAACAGTCTTATCACCCTTGTTACTGCATATGCACCAACATTAACATAAACTGAGGTTGGAAAGTGTTCTTTTTACGAGGAACTGAATAAAGCAGTGAAAGCAATACCTAAGTCAGAAAACATTTACATACTTGGTGAGTTTAATGCTCGCTTCGTTAATTTGGCGCCATTTAGCTTTAAATATTGCCTACAACTCAACAATGAATGACTAAATTCATCCTGCGAAAGTTAACCCCATAAAATACAACACTCAGCTGCCAGGAAAGGCATACAAACTCGTACATTGTTCTCAACGGAACTTCCTGGCACTGCGAAAGAGGCTGCTTGTCTTATTTTGAGACGAAGATAAAAAATGAATAGTCGGACCGGAAGTTGAGGATAAATGGTTGCACCTCACAACGCTCACCTGTTCAAGGCACCTGGGATGACGGGGCTGGGGGAGGTGAGCCGGCTACCTTGATGTTCAGATCTCGGATTCTAATTGTGACAAGGCTGGGATGAAAGCTTGAGTCAGGTGTGAAGCTTCTTCTGTTTTCTTTCCTTCTTCCCTCGCCCTCAAAAGAACCAGTGACATGGCGTGTTGCCGTTTACAAATAGACAGCGATATCTGCTCCTTTCGGCCCAACACATCCGACTTCAGCAAACACTTAATTCTTCTTCTTCTGCCTTTCTATCCCCCAATGGAGCATAGGCCCTCAACCAACTCACGCCAAGTCATTCTATCCTTCGCCATTGCATGGAGCTCTCCCCATGTCCTCCCAATCTTTCTAACCTCGTTCTCCAGCTCTCTTCTCCATGTGTTTTTTAGCCTTCCTTTATTCCTATGCCCCTGTGGGTTCCAATGCAAAGACATTCTAGTTATGCTGTTCTCATTTTTTCTCAGTGTGTGCCCTATCCAACGCCAGCGTCTTTTCCTCACTTCCTGATCCACTGGAGCCTGTTTAGTTCTCTCCCAAAGTTTTACATTAGTTATTCTATCATACCATTTGATTCCCTCTATTCTGCGCAGACACCAGTTAATGAATGTCTGTAATTTATTAGTAATTGCCTTGGTTGTTCTCCATGTTTCCGCCCCATACAATAGTACTGATTTGACATTAGAATTAAAAAATTTTAGTTTAGTATTTCTTTTAATTTCTTTTGACCTCCACAAATTCCTTAGTGCTATGAAAGCCCCTCTTGCCTTTTGTATTCTTATTTTAATATCCTTATCAGTTCCTCCATCTTTAACTACATTCTGCCTAAATAGGTGTACAACTCCACGTCTTGGAGTAGGGTGCCATTAAGAGAAACCACATTACTATTTGCCTGATTTATCCTCATTATCTTTGTCTTTCCTTTATGGATTTTCAGACCAAGCTGCTGTGATCTCGCATTAAGTATATTTAATTTATCTTGCATCTGATTCAGTGAATGGGACAGAAGAGCAATATCATCAGCGAAGTCCAGATCGTCAAGCTGTTTTGTAGGGGTCCACTGAATTCCATTCTTTGTGTTAGCAGTTACTGTTTTCATAGTCCAGTCTATAGCCAGTAAAAATAAGAGAGGCGACAAAAGACATCCCTGTCGCACACCTGTTTTTATTTCAAAAGCATCTGTTAGCTTTCCCTCATGAAGAACTCGACATTTCATGTCTTTATATGTTGCCTTTACTAAGTTGATAATTTTCTGTGAGATTCCATAGTGCCCAATCAATTTCCAGAGAGATTCCCTATCAATGCTGTCGAATGCTTTTTCATAGTCTATAAATCCAATGTAAAGTGGTGAGTTCAGTTCAATGGTTTGCTCTATTATAATACGTAATGTGGCTATCTAATCAGTACAGGATCTGTTTGACCGAAAACCTGCCTGCTCATCTCTTAGCATTTTATCAATAGCATCTTTTAATCTTTCCAAAATAATTCTACTTAATATTTTTCCAGGAATTTACAGCAACATAATTCCTCTATAGTTTTCACACTCCTGTAGATTACCTTTTTTGGGCAGTTTCACAAGATATCCTTCTCTCCAGTCTGCTGGTATTTCTTCGGTTTCCCAGACTTTACTGAATAATCTATGTATCAATTCTATTGATGTGTTTATGTTGGTCCTGATGGCTTCAGCTGGGATACCATCTGGGCCTGTCGCCTTTCCTTCCTTGAGAAGATTTATAGCTTTTCTAATTTCCTCTTTGGATGATATCTCACAGTTGATGTCCAGTTCCATTTCTAAAGGCTGGATATCTGGGGGAACCTCTGGGCTTGGTCTAGTTAGAAGCATTTCAAAATATTCAACCCATCTGTCCATTTGATCTTTAGTGTACCTTTAAGTACCTTTCCTTGACTATATTTGATTAATCCAGTTGGCTGACTATATTTACCTACTAATTTTCTTGTGTTACTGTAAAGTTCTCTGAGGTTTCCTTTTGCTGCTGCTGTCTCTGCTTCTTGTGCTAGATCATTTAGATATTTCACTTTATCTGCCCTTATATGCCTCCTAACTTCCTTGTTGGCTTCTGTGTAATTCTCCTGAGCTCTAGCTTTAGCAGCTCTAGTTTTGCTATTGTTTAATTCTGCCTTTTTACTTTTCCTATCTTCAATCAGTTTAATGGTTTCTGGTGTTATCCATGCTTTATGTTTCCTTTCTTTCTTGCCAAGAACTTCTACGCAAGATTCATTCCAGATTCCTTTGATCTGATCCCAGCAGACTTCTGTGTTGACATCTTCAGCTAACTGCTGTAACACCTGGTACTTATTAGAGACCGTAACTGAGAAATGTTCCTTAATTTCTTTATCTCTGAGAAAGCCTACATTATATTGGTTTCTATGATTATAAGATGTTATATATCTTTTTAGTTTCAACTTGATTTTACTTACCACCAGGAAATGGTCAGTAAATACATCGGCACCTCTGAAAGCCCTAACATCGTAAAGGAATGATCTAAACTTTTTGTTAATACACTTAATTAGCCGCCTGGTAAAACATGGTTGGCATGGTGTCCGACTCGAGTGCTTGAGGTCCAGGGTTCAAGTCCCGTTGAATGCTGGGATTTTTTCACGTTGAACTTCTAGTAATTTCCCCTGGTCTCTGGGTAGTAACATCGGACGCTCGTGCGTATTTGGAAGTTGAAAGTCAACCCAAAGAATTTCAGGAGCCTCGCCGGTGCAACAGGGTTCGTGCACTGCACTGAGATTCTTCAGGCTCAGGCTTGAGTTATAAGTAGAACGGAGCACTAATGGGTTACACCCGTGTGCCATGATGTTGATCCGTCGAATAAACATAAACATACAACATGGTTGTTACGGAGCAGTGGTGGGTCTATTTTAGTTTCTCCCCCAAAAGTTGAGTTCCCGGAACATTACAGAACGAACCCCAGCATTTCTTGGCTGTTGTTTTTCTAGGCAAATGTAAGTCCAGTAGTTTGCTTTCTGGGTGGTCGGTTTCTTGACACCACTGTCGAAACTAACGCAAGGCCCGCAGCTGGGACCGAACCCGGCACCCAGCATTACGAAGCTCGTTTCGCAACGTACAAGCCACAGACGCCGACTAACCGACTAACGTAAAGGAACAAAGTAATATAACTATTTTTTACTTCATTGGTGCATCCGGTATATAGTGCTTGGTCACTATTTTAATAGATCAGTTAGCGGTCCACGATAAGAGCAATAATTCTTGACTTCCTAAACAATTTGACGAATACACAACAAGTCTTACCGTAGCATTTCCTCTCTCGTGGTATTCAGCGGAAGTCCTACCATGGTGGCCATGTCTGCGGCGCTACTTGCGGACTTGAAGACAAGCGTGTCCTTTAAGGTCATATCCGCCCAGGTAAGAGGCAGCTCCAGGTCACGGTCGTGTCTGAGAATGTCTCTGAGAGTGCTGTTCCATGTGATCCTACAGTGGAAGATGGATGATTGATATAAATAGCATGCGATCCTGCATGACCAGATAGACAAATACAAATCTTACATTTGATCCTATATTGGAAGAGGGATTGATATGATATTTGATCCTACATAGAAAGGTGGACTGAAACAAATGTAACATTAGGTCCTGCATGGCAAGATGGATATTTGCAAATCAGTTTTCCCAGTGGAAGATAGATTAATACAAAATAGACATTTCATTCTTGATTCCAAAACTAGAGAAGGGGGGGGGTGTACGCATCAGAAAAATTAGACTCTAATGTTACGTTATATATTTATATACAGAGAGAGACAGAGAGAGGGAGGGAGAGAGAGAGAGAGAGAGAGAGAGAGAGAGAGAGAGAGAGAGAGGGAGAGAGAGAGAGAGAGAGATAAATGACACATGCAGCGACATAGGGACTTGGGAGAAACAAACAGTGTCATATTGGTGGACAAAAATGGCAGGATTGAAAGTCATACAGAAGATCTACGGACGAACAGTTTAGAAAAAAGACAGATGAATGAACAAACAAAGAAATAAAAGTAGCAGCAACAGCAGCAGCAGCAATAGTAGTAGTAGTAGTAGTAGTAGTAGTAGTAGTAGTAGTAGTAGTAGTAGTAGTAGTAGTAGTAGTAGTAGTAGTAGTAGTAGTAGTAGTAGTAGTAGTAGTTTTAGTAGTGGTGGTGGTTGTGGTAATGATGGTGATAGTAGTAATAGTAATAGTGCAAGCAGATGTTGTTGTTGTCGTGGTGATGGTGGTGGTAGTTGTTTGCGTTCACCAGCTGTAAACCCCGGCAGAAAGACCTGGTTGTTCGTCTATTTCTGTTCCAGTGTATTTGTATGCCCCTTTGTGGCTTTGTTTTTGCGTGTACGTCCGTTTTACATATCTAGCTTATCTGTATGCAGACTGTTGGTGCCTTGCCTCTCAAGCAGATGCGCTCCGACTCTGAAAGAAACTCCCAATTAGTCGACTCTTATAACATGCTAGCTGGGGGGGGGGGGGGGGAGGGGTGGGAGGGGTGGTAGTGGGTCTATTCTTGTTATTATCGCGATAGGACCCAGGAACCCACACAAGGAGGCGGTAGTAGTAGATCCTGTTGTTGGTTTCTGTTATTGATGTTTTTGTTATTATAGTCGAGTATTCGAGGCTTCAAATTTACGGCAAACGGATCTCCACATAATGGCGCCGTGCCTGTGCCAGTGGAAAATCACATGAAAATCCCTTCACTGTCCTTTTTAGAAGCAATCTGAAAATCTTGTCAGCTATTAGAGATTACAACAGCAACAGTCACTACCAGAAATGCAGGTTACCCCTGGAGAAAGTAAGTAGTCAGTTACGATAGCATTTATGAAAAGCTGGCCATACACCCGCAAATGAATTGCATAAGGCATTTCACAAAACCAAACGCAAACCAACTAGGTGTCATTTTCTGAATATCACAATCACAAACTTAAGACATTTCGCGCTCGTTAGCTCAGGTCGCGAATTTATAGATCCCAGTCTGTTTGTGGAAACTGCATTAGCAAACTATTGCTGGAAGCAAAAGAAACATTAACGCTAAGCGGACTGCACTGACTATCCACCATACTGGACAGGAAGTCGCAAGTAAACATATACCTATACAGACGAGCATACAAATACACTGGCATACAGACACGCTTACAAACAAATATACATGTTAACTAGGAAAATCTGCAGGCAGATTTGTTTGTTTTCAAATGACATGATACTGTATTTTCCCGAGTGGGGAAAAAAAACCTTTCCCAAAACAAATATTTTTCTGGATGACTTCAATACAAGCGCTATTTCATTAATAAGCCTATTTAAGATCGTCAGCTAGCATGAGAGACTTGTTGCCGAATGACCAGTCGTAGTACAGGTCTCACTGATGCCACATGATAATGAACGGATGTGGTTTATAATTCATCACTCGTGTGTGGCGAGTTATAACGATGTTCCTTAAGAAGATGACTGTGTCTTAATAAATGTAGATTTGTTTGTGTCCATGAATATACGTCGATTTTTAAAACATAGAAAGGCCAGAAGTTCCCCCCCCCCCCCCCTCTCCGCCCTCCCCACATCCGCACTTTTTTTTGGGGGGGGGGGAGGAGGCATTTTTCCCATGGTGCTCGGTATGGTTTCTATTTGTGAACCGAACGACACATCCGTGAAACGAACCCACGACCTTTAGACGGGCTCAACACGTTGCCATGGACACCCGTTTGGTTTAGAAAGAAGCAGACACATCCCACCATTCCAGAAACAGAAGCAGAACGTCCCTCAGACTGTTGCTTACAATGTTTCTTCGGTTTCCCCGAGGAGTTGTTGCTGCGAAATGCACGGTCTGGAATTTTGTGGGTAAAATTCCTGGCCATGAGAAAGGTGTGTAGAAGGGTATGTGGGAAATAAAAGCCGCCTTGTTGATACAGATGTGAGCCGTTCCGCGGACAAGTATTCCATTGACTACCGCTTATTGCAGGAATTTTAAACGAGTATACAGGTTGTGGTGAATACAGAGAGGAAGAGAGATGAAGGAATACACAGGGGAGCTTGTGGATAGACAGACAAACGAAGTGATGATTAAGGAGTCAATAAAGAGGCAGACTGTGGATCTAATTCCCATGCAGAAAGACTAATACACAGGCAGGCAAACAAACAAACTAACAGGCAAAAGATGGAAAGGAAGAGAGAGAGAGAGAGAGAGAGAGAGAGAGAGAGAGAGAGAGAGAGAGAGAGAGAGAGAGAGAGAGAGCAAAACCGATACCAAAACCACCCATCTTTCATTGAGATGAGTTGATCTCTTTCCTTACCCTGATAGTCTCTGGACCATCTTGTCCTTATCCCCACTATCAACATTTGCTTTGCCGAACAGCAAGGACTGATACCTCTCAGTATTTCTCGTTCTGTTGTATTCCGCCCTACACCACCGCCTCGGACAACCTAGCATCCCCTCTTCTGCCGCAGTATTTTTTAAGCAAAAAATCAGCATGATGCTCTCTTTAACCACCGCTCCCAATATTGAAAGCAAATTTTTTTGCTTGTTTTAAAGCCCCAAACTGACTGTTGCCCGGGGGTCCTAATATAACTTAACGGTTGAGAGTCGATTCTGGAACCTCTCCACGGGTGATCCTCATCAGCATGGTGGCACTTTGTGTCACGGGGCGTTTGTCGCTTGGTGGATGTCCTTGTGGGGTTGCATCTCACTCACTTCGGATGCTCTTAACGAACAGCTCTCCACCCTGGTGAGGAATGCATACCAGTGCCTAGAGCTGTTGGGATCCCAATCCATTTACCGTCAACGCCGAGGTCTGAGCGTTCATCAGTGACAAGTCAGATAACACAGATGTGCTGACCTTTACAGACAGGTCCATTATACGAGTACAAAAGAGTGTACGAGAATATACAGCTCACTCTGCATGCAGAACAGTCCAAGAGCCAGAGGTGTCTTTTCCATGACTACCAGCAGTATAAGGATTGAGGTGAGGGCGGTGATAAAAACATCCATGTGACTATTTCGGGACTATTCCCGTGTGTGCTGAGTGATTCTATGAGTATGATCTGGCGGGTCAAGGCAGGCTCCACACGCAGAGAGCAGACTGGGTCACTGCAAAACTATCCAGTGTGTGTAATTACCTTTACATTTGTTTCAAATTATACAGGTGTTGTAGGAAACGAAAGAGCTGATAGATTAGCAGGTTCTGCACTGCAGATGCCAGACCCATGGATCACGCAGACATTGTCAGTTTCCTTAGACAGATAGGACGTTCCGAGGATTTTGGAAGCAACGTGTCCACATCTCTGCTAAGAATACGAGAACTGGGAGTAAAGTTCGTAACAACCAAGCATGAGAAGCAGACCGGACCCACACGAAGCCTTGTTAACCAACATAGGACTGGCACTATAAATCACGCGACGCTGATGAACAAATTGAAGGGGGAATGTGAGCACCTATGGATGTGTCTGGAGTGCTGTGAAGATAATCCAACTCATAACTCAAAATGTGTTTTTGTCTTCTCAGTGCAAAACCAAAGATAGTGATCTACTTTCAGTTATTCTGGTTAGTGGCAGAAGGTGGCTGCATCATTCCTGGCATTAGCCCCTCCCTCCTTCAATGTCTTCCTCCTTGTCGTTGTACACTTATCAAATAACTGGATACAGGACATTATCTAGGACAACGCTGGCCACACCCTTAACCTTGACCTCCTTCCGACCTCTCACACTTATTGTGGGCGACATCCAAAGAATGCTAGTTATGATGAGACCAACGATAAGCGTGCTTTTGTGGTTGTGGGACTGGCATGTTTGAGAGCGTACATGGGTGACTTGGAGGGAAGTGTGGATGCACATTCAGATATCATCTTTGGTGAGTGCATCAAACCCCGCAGGCTGAATATACTAGGGCAGGCACAATTTACAGATTTGCATTACTTATGCATATCTTAAGGAAAAACGTTACCAGCCTACGTGTATACTTATACAGATAAAAGAGACGCCGACGAGAAAGAAGAAAAGATAAAGAAAAAGAAGAAAAAAAACAGAAGGAAAAAGAAAGAAGCAAAAAAGAAGAGAGAAGGGAGAAGGAAGAAAGGAAGGAATTAAGGGGAAGAATGATGGAAGGAAGGGAGGAAGGAAAAGGAAGAAGGAAGGAAAATGAAGAATGAGAAGAAAGAAGAAGGAAGGAGAAGGAAGAAGAAGGAGACGAAGAAGAAAAAGAAGAAGAAGAAGAAGAAGAAGAAGAAGAACGAACGAACGAACGAACGAACGAACGAACTTTATTTTCAAAGGGTTACAAATTAGGCACGCAGGCCTGTCTTACATTCGGCCCTTCCAAACTTCCATCTTTCACACAGCAGTTATATTCATGAAGCATGTTATATACATGTAATAATATGCATATTATATATCAAAAAACAAAAGCATGGCTGGTAAAATATGTACGCACGCTCACGCGCCCAATGACTCACACACAAACATATAGGCACTAAGT